TTCTTCCTGTCATTCTTCTTTTCCAGACACAGAGGATGCCAGTGAAACCGACCTGGCCAAACATGATGAGGATGACTATGTGGAAATCAAAGAACAGTACGTGTTAGTTTCTGTCAACCGTCCACTGTTGTAATCAGACTGTTGTCTAAGCAATTAAACTGGAAAATAAGTGTCAAAATGATTAAAAAAAACTGAAATAAATTTAGCTTAAATTTGAGACTGCTCAATATAACAAAATACATTTACATGAACATACATACCTAGAAGAAAAGGCCAGGTGTTGAAAATAAAACCTGACTTGACAGGAAATGATGTTTGTGACCATTTTAACCAATAATATGTAGCTTAGATTGTTTTCATTTTTGAAAAAAAAAAAACTACAATCACACTGCAGACTTTAAAAATAAATTCAACACCTCATAATGGTGTTGAATTATGAGGTGAATTCTGGACATAGCAGAGGTAAAGAGGAAAAGTACATAAGTAAGGCTGTGTGTACACCAACTGATTCCTTGCAGTATACGTAAATACACACAAATTGTATGTTAAGTTGCATCTCGTAACATTTAAACTTTAGACTAAAGCCACGGTCATAACTTAAATGTGGACTTAATTCTTATAATACACACACATTACTACGTCTCTTCTCTTTGTTGCATTAATACTGCATTTGTTTCGTAGAGCTGAGCATCTTCGCTGGTCTCAATTCAGTTCCATTGGTGCACAGTGATGCATTGCAGTCTTAATTTTCTATAGTGAGTCATCATTGATGAGTTAGATTCTTTATAACACTCTACTTTTTATTGTATATCATATGAGTGAATTAAATCAACAATCACCCTAATCATTAATTTCTTGTCGCTACATTTTAGAAATTTTTACAGCAGATTCTGTGCATTTTAATGTCACCCACCTTTTTTTTTTTCTTCTTCTTTCAGAATGTATCAAGACAAACTGGCCTCGCTAAAAAGACAACTGCAGCAGCTACAGGAAGGTAATCACTGGCCTTTATTCCTATTATTAGATTAAGGAGGATTTTTTTTTTTTTATTTTAACTGTCCGTCTTCTGCAGTTTTTTGTGGGATATCACAGATATCAGATCTATTCTTATTTTTCACAGTTACATTTATTTTTTGTATTTCATCATCCGGCTGTACTGTATATGTAGTTTGTTGGTCAGTTCAGATTTTGGTTCTCTCCAGTGTCATCTGGTACCAACAATAAACTGCAGGTGGCAGCAGATTTGAAACAATCCATAAAGCAAACTTAATCCATCAATATTACCTCATATTAATGCTGGGCCTAAATGGCCACAGTGTATTTTGGTCAAAAAAAATAAAGGTTGACCAGAAAACCTTTTTTTTTCCCATAAAAAATACCTGAAAGTACTTTTATTTCCTGCAGTAAAATAACCCATAATTTGTTTCAAAAGTATACAAATAAATGGAAGTTATTGACAAGTCTTATTTATATTTAAATTAAGAAGTCAATTTAATACTTTCCTTTAAAATTACACTTCCAGGTACGTTGCAGGAGTATCAGAAGAGGATGAAGAAGTTGGACCAGCAGTACAAGGAGAGACTTCGAAATGCAGGTGAGAACTGAAGTAAAAGTTGACTGAATTGACTGGAAATTAGATTGATAAACCAATAAACTCTTTGTCGTGTAGTCGTCACAGTTACCTGACCAAATACGTTTCTCTTCCCCTCCACAGATCTTTTCCTTCAGCTGGAGGTAAGTAACGTGGTGTTTTGATCAAAGCTATCCAACATTTTCACTGCATCACAAAGGAAGTGTTTCATCCCGGCCGTGTTTGTCGTCTCTGCGCAGACGGACCAGGTGGAGAGGAACTACATCAAGGAGAAGAAGGCGGCGGTGAAGGAGTTTGATGATAAAAAGGTGGAACTAAAGGAGAACCTAATCGCAGAGCTGGAGGAGAAGAAGAAAATGATTGAGAATGAAAAGTTAACAATGGAACTCACTGGTGGTAAGGGACCTAGAACACGGTGATTAATCAGGAACTGAAGGAAGTAATGGGGACGGAGTGTGTGTGTGTGTGTAGGACAAGGAGTCAGAATGTTTTATGCGGTGTGGATACAGGGTAAAAAAAAGGAACTTGACTGTCATTTATTGTGACTGTAAACTGTAATTTTTTTTTAGTCTCTTTTCTCGGCCTTCTTTTATTTTCAGACTCCATGGAGGTAAAACCCATCATGACTCGAAAGCTGAGGAGACGACCCAATGATCCAGTCCCTATTCCAGACAAACGGAGAAAATCAGCACCTGATATCCTAGTCATGGTCATGGTTTTCAAAACTAGGCCTGTAATCACGATTAATCGCACAATAGTACATAGTTACTGTGCCCTACGGACATTTGCAAAACAGGTTGAATTCTGATTTTAGAATACACATATATAAATATATGCATGTATGGATACATATATGTGTAAGTATATATGTTTTTATATGTATATCTACAGTGGGTACGGAAAGTATTCAGACCCCTTTAAATTTGTCACTTTGTTTCATTGCAGCCATTTGCTAAAAATCAAAAAAGTTTTTTATTTATTTTTTATTTTTATTTCTCATTAATGTACATGTAAATTTATTAAAAAAGAAAAACTGAAATATCACATGGTCATAAGTATTCAGACCCTTTGCTGTGACATTCATATTTAACTCACATGCTGTCCATTTCTTCTGATCCTTCTTGAGATGGTTCTACTCCTTCATTGGAGTCCAGCTGTGTTTGATTATACTGATTGGACTTGGTTAGAAAAGCCATATATCTATATGTCCATATCTATAAGACCTTACAGCTCACTATGCATGTCAGAGCAAATGAGAATCATGAGGTCAATGGAACTGCCTGAAGAGCTGAGAGATAGATCCTAAGAGCACAGTGGCCTCCATAATCCTCAAATGGAAGACGTTTGGGATGACCAGAACCCTTCCTAGAGCTGGCGGTCCAGCCAAACTGAGCAATTGCGGGAGAAGAGCCTTGGTGAGAGAGGTAAAGAAGAACCCAAAGATCATGGTGGCTGAGCTCCAGAGATGCAGTCGGGAGATGGGAGAAAGTTGTAGAAAGACAACCATCACTGCAGCCCTCCACCAGTCGGGGCTTTATGACAGAGTGGCCCGACGGAAGCCTCTCCTCAGTGCAAGACATATGAAAGCCCGCATGGAGTTTACTAAAACAACACCTGAAGGACTCCAAGATGGGGACAAATAAAATTATCTGGTATGATGAGACGAAGATTGAACTTTTTGGCCTTAATTCTAAGCGGTATGTGTGGAGAAAACCAGGCACTGCTCATCACCTGTCCAATACAATCCCAACAATGAAACATGGTGGTGGCAGCATCATGCTATGGGGGGGCCAAGTACAGAGATATCCTGGAAGAAAACCTCTTCCAGAGTGCTCAGGACCTCAGACTGGGCCGAAGGTTCACCTTCCAACAAGACAATGACCCTAAGCACACAGCTAAAATAACGAAGGAGTGGCTTCAGAACAACTCTACAACTGGAACAACAACCATTCTTGACTGATTCTTGACCAATTGAGCATCTTTGGAGAAGAATGGTAGAGGAGCCCCAAATCCAGGTGTGAAAAACTTGTTGCATCATTCCCAAGAAGACTCATGGCTGTACTAGCTCAAAAGGGTGCTTCTACTCAATACTGAGCAAAGGGTCTGAATACTTATGACCATGTGATATTTCAGTTTTTCTTTTTTAATAAATTTGCAAAAATTTCTATATATCTGTTTTTTTCTGTGAAGATGGGGTGCTGAGTGTACATTAATGAGAAATAAAATGAACTTTTTTGATTTTAGTAAATGACTGCAATGAAACAGTGACAAATTTAAAGGGACCTGAATACTTTCTGTACCCACTGTATATGAATACATATGAATATATACATGTCTATGTATTTATATGTATATACTGTACATATATACATATATGTTTGTGTTCTTATGGTCAAAATTTGGTCAAAAACAATATAAATTGCACAATAGTACATAATTACTGTGCCTTATGAACATTTGCAAAGCAGCTTATATTCTGATTTTATAAACGCGTATATAAATATATACGCATGTATGGATACATATATGTATTTTATGTGTATATGTGTGTAAGTATGTTTTTGTATGTATATATACATATATGAATATAAAATATAAATATAATATAAAAGTATATACACATGTATGTATATATTTAAATATATTATGTGTGTGTATATATATTATTATAGGAGAGATGTGATATAAAAAAAAAAAAAAGACAATAAATATATATATATATATATATATATATATATATATATATATATATATATAATACAAAATTTTAGTAAAACTCTTTGTCAACAGGTCCATCTTTGAAACAGGTATAATTTGAATATTTAATCTCTGGGATGAAACCAGTCTGTTGAAGTCTTGTCCTGAACCAATCTGAACCTTTCAAACAAACAAACGCTCCTTTCTTAACACCTCAAACCTCAGCTAAATTATTTGCTAACAGATGAACAGATCATGGAAGATTTAAGAACACTAAATAAGGTCAGTGTTTTCAGGTTCATTTCAGATCAACTACAGCCACAGATATTCTTTTAATATATATTTTTAAAATATATATATTTTTTCTTTGCAGCTAAAATCACCAAAGCGACCAGGTAAAAACTCTTTTTATATTTATTATTTTTCTGTACTTTCTTGTTTACAAATACTAATAGCCCTTTCTTCCAACTCTAGCTGTGCGCAGTATTTCAGTCATGACGAGTCATGCACGTTTTTACTAATGTGTTTGTTGTTCTACAGTGTCGCCCTCCTCTCCAGAACATGTCCCATCAGCCACCATGGAAAACCCAGCGCAGCGCAACGAGGCACGCATTGAAGAAGGAAAACTTTACTACGACAAAAGATGGTAATTTTTTTTTTTTTTAATTTAAGCTTTTATCCAAAGCACTGGCCTGTGGGCCACTTCTGGCTCCGAAAACGCCCCCATATCTGGTGGGCTGGGAATAGTTGTCAATTATAAATGCATTTTGTCTTTGGATATTTAAAATGTATATTTGTACTGTACTCACTGTATATAGAATATTTCTATCAAAGTACTTTTTCTAAAATATCTCTTTCACTCTGAGATGGCCTTCCATGACAGTGGCAGCAGTGGCCCTTTCTTAAGCATATACTGCTGAGAAGTGTTCGTGACCACCACATGGCAACTCCATCTTTTGCCCCATTTTTGATGGCCCCCTTGTTTTTTAGCTGTTTATCTTAAATATGATCTTATTATTAAGATTATTAAGACTAAATAACAGCACATTAACACATCAAGACTGTCACACATGTATATTATCTTTCAAAAATCCAAAAAACAACCATCAACACATTTTCAAAGCTGAAAAATTTAGAAGTCTCTTTTGTGTGAATTTTTTTCCTCTGAAGATTTGGACTCATTACGACAGACTGTTGTTTTGACTTTTAAGTCTAATTATGTCTTTAATATAATCCCTGCAAGACTGCGGTTTATTCAGCAGGGTATAATTAGGTATAATAATTTCCTCTGCACTCCTGTCTCCCGTCTCTGTGTCATTCCTCATGGCCAATGTCGAGCTAATGCTTTCTCTGCTCTGCTCTGCTGGCAGGTACCACAAAAGCCAGGCCATTTACTTGGAATCTAAGGACAACACAAAGATTAGCTGTGTCATCAGCTCAGTGGGGACCAATGAGGTGAGCTCCTGCTCTGTACACTGTACTGTTACTGCACAACACAACGCTGCTAATATGTTACAGAAAAAGACTCTTATGAGACCTAAGTCTGTGTAAGCACAGCTTACTTTGATGTACCTCATCCATTTTCTGCCACAGAGGTCCAATGTTTTAACAAAAAGGAACTTCCGATTGCCCCCTCAAGTTTAGGTGTGGCTTTGTGTAACGGCGAGTTATCATTACGGTAACTTCACAGAGGACTTCAGACATTATTCTCCTGCTCTAAATATCTCCAAATCCATTTATTAATTTATCTGCAGTTAGTGTGTTGTTTTTTGTATTTTTTTTAATACATTTGCGATTGTAACTTAAGTTTTAGAATAGGGATGTAAACATTAAGGACTTTTATTAGGGCACGTGTGTCAAACTCGAGGCCCGTGGGCTGAATACAGCCCATCATGTAATTTTATGTGGCCCATTAGAGCAATGTTTCCCAAACCTTTTTTTCTGGGGACCCATATTTTAAAAGTCACAAACCTTCGCGACCCAAGTCAATAGACATTAGTCGTAAACTCCTGGGGAACATGATGCGAGACAACCCAAAAACATCTCTGGCGACCCACCACGACCCAGTCTTTGGGAAACAATACACTCGAGCATCAATTGTTTTTTTTTTTTTTTCTTACTCATTAAAAAAATAATGTGTACTGAATAGGTAATTGGGTAGTTCACAATTATACCGCTCTATTTCCAATTCTCATCAAATGTACAGTTAGCTTGAATTTCATTTTTATTTTGCGATATATCCTACATTTTATGTTTAACATTGTTAATGTTAATATAATTAACATTCTTATTTTGCTTGATTTTTTTTTTAATAAATTTAAAAAAAAGTATTTAAATGAGGAAAACATCTGTTCAAATTCTTCATTTCTGGTAAAATCATCATCCGTACTAGACTGTTCCATATACTTAATCCTGTTTGGGCCATAGCATAAACTGTCACACTTGAGACGTCTTCACAACAACAGCAGGAGGATCTCTGAATCGTCTGGTGAAGACGGAGACGCTCGGCTTAACACAGATAGGGTTTCTCCTCCTGAGTTCTCCTTCATAGCTCTACTTATCTTAATGTAAAGCTGTCGTTTCTAAAAGTCTCCAATATTTCACCAAAATAAGGAAATTAAATTACAAATAGTTTTTCCCCCCTCTGTTGCACAAATAAAAATCGAAAAATAAAGATCGAGTATCCGAATGAACTTAGGAGCTATGTTGTCGGGGGCTTAATGCCCCTGGTAGGGTCTCCCAAGGCAAACAGGTCCTAGGCGACGGATCAGACAAATAGTGGTTCAAACCCCCCCTCCCTTGATGAAGAAAACGACAAAATCAAAGAGGTTCATGTCGTCCGGATTGACGTCACCGGGGCCCCACCCTGGAGCCAGGCCCGGGGTTGGGGCTCGCAGGCGAGCGCCTGGTGGCCGGGTCCTTGCTCACGGGACCCGGCCGGGCTCAGCCCGAACAAGCGACGTGAGCCCCCTTTCCAGTGGGCCCACCACCCGCAGGAAGGCCCACAAGGGGCCGGCGCCTTGTGATTTAGGTGGAGGTTGGGGGCGGAGACCCTGACAGCCCAATCCCTGGACAACCACTCTGGCTATGGGGACATGGAATGTCACGTGGAACACAGGACCAGCTCTATACCCGCCACACGGAGCTTGAGGGGTTTTGGGAGTTGGGCCAACTGGGCGGCATGGGTGTTGT